AGGCTTCTCCTATATATTGGATTTCTTCTAATTCTCCACATCCCACTAACCTTTCTGTAAATTAGTTCCAATTAGATTTCACCTTTTCCCATTTTGTGGCACATATACTGGTTAAAAGGAGGAAGATGACTTTTCTGTGTATGTTTTGTCAGTCAAGAAACGTAGCTGAAGGAGACAGCACAAAAAGCCGTCATTTAACATGTATTTCAAACTGCTTTGTAGTCTAACTAGTCTTACACATATTTCAATTGGCCTGAAGACACCACCTATTCTTACAAGTCTTGTTTTGTTCTCTGACTTCCCATGGCCACAGGAATACTATTGCAATGTCCCAGTGATGTATTTCTCCATGAGCAAAGCTTCTGCAGTCATCTTGTGACCAGCTATCACACTTAGCTTTTCAGGGCACATTGCACTGTGCTCTGCACTGCTTATCTCATCCGATTTTTGTTCGTTTATAGTCCATAATGTCATCAAGTTTTTCCAGCATAACACCCAAATTCTCTGACAATAATTCCCAAATTTGGTTTAATGAGTTGATTTTAAACAGTATTTATATTTGTTTTACAATGTTACAAGTGAAAACTGTAAAATTAATCTCATGACTGGTCCTAGAAATAGTTTTAACCAGACTGCCTTCTCTTTCAGGATCCACTGCTCTAACTCTCTCAACTTACTGAAAGAGTAAGGCTGGTTAATCTAATGTGAGCCTTTCTCTGAACAGGAAGTGAGTACTCCTAACAGCGCAGTGCACACTTTCAGCTGGCCTTTGATGCTAGAAAGAGAGGGATTCCTACAAAATGAATCCTTTAAGATTCTGGATTTGTTCTATTATTCTCATGTTCCATCTGTGTTTTCCCAAAAGGAGCAGAGGCCTTTTAACAACTCTGCTACAAAGAACGAGTAACTAGGTCAATAAGAAAAGTTCACTTGACTAGTCCTTCTTTCCTAGCATTTTTAAATTGTATTTTTATATTTGTTTTTATGCTATAAAAGCTTCTCAGAAGTAGAGCTTTGGGCTGGCAATCTTTAACCCTTTATCTTACAAGGCCCATAAAGTCAATCACATCATATTAGACTGATAATCACTTTGCTTTCAGCTTTAATTATTTGTTTAGTAACTGATGTAATAGACATGGGTGCTTATTTATTAATAAATGACATCTCAATGGTAGTCTGCAAAATAAAAGATAATGCTTCTATGCATAACAAAAGGAGAAAAAAAATAAAATTACTTACTTGATTAAGTATATCTTGTTTCTGTAATGCATGCAATAAAGGAAAGAAGACACATATATTAATGTAGCATAGTAACGCTCAGACTTTGTTATTATAAATACTATTTTGGTTGAAAGGTTAGTAATGTAGATGAACAGGCTTAAGACAGAAGACAGAATATCATTATTTTGCATTAGTGCATATGTCAAGTAAATGGTTCAGCTTAGCATTCTAGTCTTGATTAGAGAGTGTAAGCAATTTATTTTTAACCATGCTATGATAGATATCAAAGAAAAAGACAAGGAATTAAATATGTTTGTCTCTCTCAGCCCTGTGCACTTTGAAAAAGAAAAAAAAAAAAATTGTTTGTTGCCAAGAATGGTTGTTATTGAAACCATTTTATCAAAAATGAATGCAATAATAAACACTAGCAAGCACTGTCTCCAAAGTTTCTAATAATCCATTCCTTTTAATAAAGGCTCTGTACTAATTTCCTGCTTTATTCACAAACTGCTGTCAATACTTCCTAATTAGCACTACCTTAAATTATAAACATAGTTATGTTCTCCACGTAAATTACACTGACTGAGACAAACTTTAGTTACTAAACTACCAAGAATATCTTTAAAATATTTACAGAGTAACTAAAAGAAAAAAAAAAAAAAACAAACCCACATCAACACTTTGGGAAATCAGAAAGACCCCAGAGAAAGATTAGAGAAAGATTCTTAGAACCATTTTCACTACTTCCAAAACTGCAAAAGTATTTCGAAGGTGGCAGATGTTTACTGCCATGTTGCATTCATTTTGCTAAACCTGAGGCTTCACCTACCCAGTCAGACCAGACCATGGAGTATGCCTGGTGCCATGTACTCACTTTAATAACCTTCTCAGAAATTTCTGTTTCACTGTTTAACCTGAGCACTTATATTTATTTTTTTTATCCAGATGCAATTTGTGGCACTCAGGAGCACTTCCCAGATCCAAGCACAGACATGCTATATTTGACTGTCTCAAACCTACACCTGTCTGGCTAAGGTACATCTGTACAAATTTCTCCTCTCTCTGTACTGGTTAAACCTAAAAGCTCAAAATGTGTCTGTAAGCAAGAAATTATGATCCACTCTAATAGAACCATCAAAAAGGATGTGCATCTATTTCCCACTTTGATACAGTCTTTTGCTCGATTTCCTGATTTTTGCCAGCCTACTCAGCACTTGTCTGAAAGCGAAACAGTTGAAATTAGTTAGCTGAGAGAAATACCAAATGTCAAAAGACTATTTATAAATCACAGCTTTCCAGCAGGGTGTTGTTAACCTACCTGTGTATTCTAGGTCAGGCATAAAACCCAGTATAAACTACATATTTGACACTAACATAGAAAAAGGTGGGAAGACAGAGATTCACTAGCATATGAGTTTCAGTAATCTACCTTAGACTGAAAGCTAGCAGAGAGTAAAAGCTGCATAAATATAATTCTTACAGTAGATGAAGACCTTCTTATAATCAAATATGTCATTTCCACTAAGCCTAAAAAACACTCATTCAGTAAGATATAAGATAATGGAAAAACAAGCCAGATGACTTCAGGTCACAAGCTTCAAGTATCAACAGCTTTTCTTTTGCTATTTGTGTGCTGTTAAATCAGCTCATGATAAAAAGAAGGAAAAAAAACCAACCCTGTAATAAAGAAGCAACATCCTCAACCCTTTAAGCAGGAAGAAATTTTTAAAAACTTAACACTTTTTCTAAAGTACACAAATATGCCACATTGCAAAATCTCTATGTTCCATACCATACCTCTATACGTTCCTCAATACCTCTATGTTCCATGCTTATTAGTATTAAATTGGCACCAGCTTTTTGTAGGACATTGAGAAGATTGGAAAAATATTTAAATTTTAATGAGACAAGAGCTAAAAAGAAAGCATGAAGCTCTCCTCTACAAAACACAAGAACAAAACAGGATGCTTAGAAGTTTAAAGGGTTATCTACAATATGTGAAAGAGAAAAGCTAAACTGACTTATTTCTGCTAGATGAATAACTTTTTTTTTTTTTTTGTCATATCATATCTACTAAAATAATGAAAGTGAGTTCTGTTTTTTTTCTTCTTTTTAATTTAGAGATCAAAATTGCATAGTTTAAATAATACACGCAGCACAAGGAGTTCTCATCTGACCAGATAGAATCAACTCTCAAGTCATCCACTACAGAGCTTATCCATATAGCACTTTTAAGAGATGTCAAAAACACAGAAACATCTGGGAAAAGGCAGTTCTGTCTGACTATATTCACCCAGCTGCAGAAGAAATATCAGTCACTCTTCTTGCAGCTGATGACATGAAACCTGAACTAATAAATCCTGCTAGATCCAAAATACTCATTTTCTATCTTTTTTTCATTTTGTTATACTCCCTGAAATCAAAGTACTACACAGAAAAGTGAAAAAGCCATTGGGCTTAGCTTGGGACCAACACTGTCCAGTAGCAGCCAATAGCTTGACCCCTGCTGAGGTCAGTGGGGCCACAGCAAGTTGTTTAATTTTCATTCCCTCTGCCCTTCCATATTCCCACACAATTACTTTACACTTTAAAAGGTTACACTTCACAGAATTGAAACCACTGTACAAGGAAAGAATAGAAGTGAAGATTTCAAAAACAATTAACAATAAATTTAATGTATTTTATCGCATACATTCACAGCACAAAGAAAGCAACGGAAATTAAAAGTTAAAAAAGTACAAACGCTCAATCATATAAACATCTCCTAGTAAATACGTCTACATTCTAATATGAATCAATTGAAGGTGGTTCTACAGCCCATGCCACATTGAAGACTAAATCAAACGGTGAAAATGTTCCCACCATTTTATAATATATAATTTATGTAAATAAAATAATGAAGATTTAAGATGATCAACTACAAAATCAACTCATACTGCTTTATCAAAACACAAAATATTTTCTTCAGAAGTGATTCAAATGACCAATACTACATTTTGTTTCATTCAAAGTATTAAATAATATTCCAATATTTAATTGGTTATACCTGCCTTACTTAACAACAACTGCATACTGAAGTGTAGGTACAAGTTACGCTTATAATGGTTAGTACATTTTTCTATTCTGAACTCCATACAATACAAACCTATTTAGAAACGCTGATGAAACAGGGTTTTATTTAGCTACATTTTAAATCACATTATTAGGATGTGCTAAACAAATAAAAATTGCAAGTGGGGATTGCAAAATGAAACATTTTGGGGATTTTTTTTTTTTTTTTTTGCCATCCAAAACAGTGTTTTCAGAGTGTGACTCTGTAGAGGCAATACCCACACACATTCAATTGAATTCTTTGTTTCATAATACCAGAAAAAAAGAAATTACCCCAAAGGGGATCCCACAAGCAGAAATGATGTAAGAAAAACAAGTTAGAAAAAATATCTTTGCAGACTTTACTTATCTAAGATTTGATAATATTCTTAACATCTCTAACCACCAAAAAGAATTAGAAAGCATATTAACATTTAGGATTATGGGGTTTATTTTTAACTGTTTTTTTGTTTTAGTTCTTAAATTGTTTATTGATATTAATAAGCAGATGTGTCTACTATGATGTTTATAAACTTTTAGTTAATAAAAACATTCACATTTTTATTTCCAAACAAACACAATTACCCTCAAATAACTGATTTATAAAAATACTTCTATTTTAAATCCTTTAACCATTTATTAATACTTTTCCCACCACTCCCAATTATTAAAGAAAGAAGACAAGTTACCCCTTCAGGATTATATTTTGCTAACACACCACTGCCATGGAACTCTTCTAAGACATCCTTAATTTTCTTAGTGGAATCTAGACAAAGAATGAAAAGAGAAAAAATTAAAATACAGAAAACTGATTTACATAATGTGAACTGTATTAAAGGAACACACACAAAAAACGCTAATATCTTTTCTCAATGTGCATCACTAATTTTCTCTAGCTATATAAGAGCTGTAGGCATAAAGAAAACGAGAACATACTGTACCCTCTTAACAAATGGTAAAAAAAACGGTAAGTAAACACAGAAAGCTAAGAAACAAACATTCTTTACTACAGTCTTTAACTGTTGTTAAGCAACGTATTTCTCAAGTAGTTGTCTGCAAGGACTATTTCAAGTCCCTTTTCTTGTCCTTGAAACATGAGTCATCTACCAAGCAGGTTCACTCCTAACAGTGCTACTAAATCTCATCTGGCATAGGTGTGAGTGAGCCAGAGGAGCCAGACTATCTATCTATACATACATATATATAAAATATACGTGCCATACTTGAAAGAAATATGTTTTTCTGAAGACTCATCACAGAAAACAAACATTATATCTTTTGCAGACCTCCAAGATACTTTAACAACTGTCAGTCAGAATAACTTTGGTTATTTGCTAACAGAATCATGCTATATCGCAGCAGTTCAGAATTTTTGTTCTCATTGTTAAAAAATTTCTACTTGCAAAAGAATAACACAGTTATTTCAGTAAGCTGCCAATACATTTGAATTCACATTAACACATAACCATCTTTTCTAATCTAAATATCTTGGAATATAATAAAAATAGATGTAACTCAATTCTGTCTTTGAAATGCAAGACAGTCAAATGTGCATAATGAGCATAACATTGGAGTAAGTCATGAACTAGCAGATGCACTACAAATGAAAACAAGTATATATAACGGCTGGATAGTTATTTCCACAGCAAATATTGAATGGAGAGAAGAAAAACAAAAACTGGGAAATAAGAACAACAACAACAAAAACCTTCTTTAATTTAACATTTAACATTTTTATCATCTACAAACAAGCATTATGTCTATGCAGCTGTAATTAAAATCAAACACTTGTGCTATGTAATTTTTTCCTGAATCCCCCTTAAGGGGATTCCTTAATCCCCTTAGTGCAATCATTAAAAAAACACAATACATTCCATGATCGAAATATCTGTCAAGAAAAAATGTTTTGTGGATGTAATTACTGCTTTGGTTGTCCCAGAAAAATTGAGAAATTTCCACATTTTGGACACAAGCTGTATTTATTGCAAGCACCGGGCTATGCATTCCACAGCCAAGATAGAACCATTTTTCACAACCTTTTGTTCACAGTCATTCAATCATTATTTCAGTTCATGGGACAGTATCCAAACAAGCACGCATTAAGATGATTTTTTAAACAACAAAAATATGACATATCAATATTTTAAGTCAAACATCAAAGGACAATCTTCTGTATGTACATTTCCTAACAGTTCAAACCTTCTGAAGAAAAACTAATTCTTCTTAGTCTGTAACAGCCAAACTAATACTATAAACATTCCATCTTCAATAAGTTGACGTCAAGATATGACAGTAAAAGTAATCTTCAAGTTTCATTCATTTTTGTGCATAAAAAGCAGAGTCTTGGAAAGTTCTATGCCAACAAAAAAAACCCGAGAAACTCCAATACAATGTTTTTAATTCCACTAACAGAAAAATTAGCCAAGTAAATTCTCTATGGAAAATAAAATATCAGAAATTATACACAGAAATAAATATGAAGTTTTCTCAATTTTTTTTTTTTTTTTTTTCCTAAGTTTCCTCCCAGGACATAATAACAACGCTGGGGGTCTGACTGAAAATTTAGTCTGACTGAAATAATTTGTACACTCACTAGAAACTGGTGTAAAAACGCACCTCAAACTGTGTCTTGCCTGTTACCTCCAAGTACATATGCTCTGCTGTCACAGTTTTATGGTTTTTGGTTATCGTTATTCCACATCATAACATCATGCAGTGCACTGGGAGGTAAGGTGTTAATGCTCAAAGTTCCAGGTACCCATCTTGAAGAGAAGAAGAACTACATTCCCCAGAGGACTTTGCGGTCAGAGAGGAGATATAACCCCTGGCAAGGTCAGCTGATGGGCTCTTCTTCATCAGGCTCTCCTCCCTGCTGCTCAATCGGACTGCGCATCTCACCTAAGTGTCATGGTGAGGCCTATCCACCTTTCAAACACTCTCATTATATTTGATTTATTATCTCCAATTCTAATTATATTGTATTATAGTGTGTTATCTTGCATTCCAATACCATATATAGTAAATTAGTTTGTTTCTCCCTAGATTGCTGCCACTGTTTTCTTTTTCCATTATTTTGGAGTCCTCTGTTTCCCTTTTCTGGAGGCGCAGATCCGTGGATCCCTCCACTCTGCTAGTCACAGAACTGGGCCAAACCAGCCCATAAACCGTTCACATCTGCATAGCTCAGCAATTTAACATTTCTGAGTAAATTCAGAAGTACCATCCACATATTAAAAGTTCACTATGAATATGATCCTAAACTTTAGATATCTATCATTGTTTTTTAATCATGGACAGACTTTCTTTGTATGTGATGCTCCATTCCAACAGTTTGTAAATATGCAGAAATATATAGCACATCCATCATTGTAGTGCTTAAACCCCATGAATTTCAGTTAATGAAAAATGCAAAACTCATTTCATGAAACCACTTTTTCTTTTATATTTTTACAATTTTATTACTTTTATTACCCACTAGCACGGTGCTTTGAGAATTCACTTAAAATACGGAAGCCATTCAGTTCTCTTTTCTGTCTGTATGGATTTAAACCCTTGTACGTCAGCTCATCTTCTGCTGTAATTTTGACAGAACACAGCAGTGTTCATTTAGCCACGGTGCTAGGAGAAAAAGGGAAACTGTGATTCAGGAGTCAGAATTCTCCTGGGAGGAGGTGAGCTATGTTTTCCCAACTCATGTCTGAGCAGTAGCAAACAGGCTAAGCATAGTATGACAGACTGCTAACTGAAAAAGCTAGTACTTCACTTGAGAAAAGTAGCTGGGCATTGCTGCTTTTTTTTTTTTTTTTTTTTTTTTTTTTGCTTTTTTTTTTTTTAAATAAAGTCTTCAAAACAATAGGTACATAGATAACCTTAGTTAAGGTACTTTCCAGAATAAAGGCAAAACAATCAAAATCATGACGCAATAGAAATAATAAACCTGCATAGTTAACAGGGAGATATTCAAAGTGTCAAAGTATCTGATTTTTTAAGTATCTTACAGTCCTAACAAAGATACCTTTTATAACTGAAGACTAATTTACATACCAAGTTGCAAATCATTTAAGACTTAGCCCACATTAAAATCATGATTCATTTTTTAAAATGACTCAGCTTCAGATGAGGAAGATTAAACACTAAGTTGAGATTGGAATTCAGTGAACCATTTTTCCCATAAATGGAAAACATCAAACATCAAGAAAACTTGCCCAGATCACAGATTTTCTCTACACTTTCAACCACCCACCCAGAAACATTCTTGGGAAGTTTAAGAACAGAAAAATAAATGACCTATAAAAAAGGCCTGACAGCATAAAATACTGGTTTTAAAATCATGTGTAAAGACAAATAAGCACTAGAAAACAAAGGCTGGATTACAATTAATTCTGTTATGAACCCAGATGTGATTATATCATTTGAAAAAAAAATCACAGGTAAGCATTCAGAGTCTTACAATGATCAATTTCACTGTTTATACATAAAAGCTCTGAAGTTTTAGAGATTTTCTATAACTTTATAATACAATACAGGAAAAAAAAAAATCAATATGCAATTTTCTGGCATGACCCAAAGTTGAAAGTCCTACATGACAGCAAAGACAGTAGGAAACATGGGAAAAAGCCCAATACTCCTTTGTCACTGCAATTCTTACACAGATTCTTCTTCTATTATGGATTTTTTCTTCCTTTTCTGGATGCAAATTATACAATAAAAATGTGCAATCATGTATGTATATACATATGCACATGTGTTTACACATGAACATTTCTGCGTCAGAGATTCTTTTATGCACAGAACCATATGACATCTTTGCTCAAGCTTAAGATTAAGCTAAACCTCTGCTGGTCTCCAAATGCCAGTATATTATAAACACTGAGCCTGCTAACAAAGCTGTATGCATCTGTATTTTTCACTCTCAATAGAAAAAAGGTTATTCCAGAAAAAAAAAAAACAACATTTTTCTCAATATGATTCTGCATCCAGCAGCATGTCTGTGTTGCTAAGAGGTTCCGGTGATTGACACTGAACGATGAGAAATTAATATCATAAGTTGGGCTAGAGGCATGCTGCTTCAAGCTCTTAACATAATAGGTTATACTTTCCTGTTGGTTTATGAGCAGAAGTCTTTTGATGCAAATTTCACAAAAGAAACACATTTGAATTCATGGTCATTGTTTTTTTTGGTTTTTTTTTTGTTTTTGTTTTTTTTTAATTGATTTCACAAAACTTACCATCACCTTGAAAACAGCTGCCAGGCTGGGAAGGCAACCACAGCGCAATGCTGTGAAAGAGACCTCCCCTTACTAGTCATTACCAATAACTGCAGTAGCACGCACTTTAACAGGAAAATTTGAATGACAAGAACCTCCAGCATATCACTCTTCTACCAAATTCTCTGATGAATAATCAGCAGAAAGTTCCTTAGAAACTCAGGCAGAACTGGATGAGGCTGTCTAAATAAATATGGTGGCAAACAACTTGTGTAATATCAGATGGATAAAGAGGTAAGTGGAGAGAGAGGGACAGCAGCCACTGCTGCAGGGAAGGACAACTCCTGCTGCAGCAGCTGCTGAATTTGAAGCTCCTGCCAAGCATAAGTGCACAGCATTTTGCCACCCGCCCTTATCCATGGCCACAGTGATGCCTGTTGTTCCTCACCTGAAGATTGGTACAGATTTTCAATTTCTCAAGGACATCATTAGAAGGAAGATTTATCAATTTTACTCCTTCCTATTACTAAGTGATGCTTATACAGGCGATCAGACTTCT